TTAGCGACAGAATTGAATTCGGTTGCTATTTCTGTCGCTAAATTATAAATTTTGATTTTTTTTAGCGACAGAGTTTAATTCGGTCGCTAAATAGTAGTTAAAATTAGCGATGAAATTGAATTCGGTCGCTAAATAGTAGTTAAATTTAGCGATGGAATTGAATTTGGTCGCTAAGTATTAGTTAAAATTAGCAACGGAATTTAATTCCGTCGCTAAATTAAAAATTTTGATTTTTTTAGCGACGGAATTGAGTTTGGTCACTAAATATTAGTCAAAATTAGCCACAGAATTGAATTCGGTCGCAAAATAGTAGTTAAATTTAGTGACGGAATTGAATTCGGTCGCTAAATATTAGTTAAATTTAGCGACCGAATTCAATATTTAGCGACAAAATTTAATTGGGTCGCTAAATAAGAAATTTTAATTTTTTTAGCGACGGAATTAAATTCGGTTGCTAAATATTAGTTTAAATTAGTGAAGGAATTGAATTCGGTCTCTAAATCAGAAATTTTGCTATTTTTGTACCATCCAGGTATTTAGCCCACTATTATGTCATCTAGGTATTTTTACGACTGTATGCTTTTGAGTTGAAACAACCAATTTGTAGGCTTCTTTCAAGTGACTATGTGATGAAATTAGACATTTACGATATAAACCAATAATTTTTTTAAAAATGATTGTATAAAAAAATATTTTAAATATTTATAACTTGTTTTTGTTTTATAAATTTATTTGTTTACTTATATTTTTAATAATATATTTATATTAATTTTGTATTATATTATAAATAAATAGGTTGATCTATCAAATCTAATGTACCTTTTTTAAAAGCCTAAGATTAACTTTTTTTATATAAAATAATTTTTTTTAAAGTCTAAACTTAGTCTTTTATTAAATAGGTCAAGTCAAGTTAGACCAGGCATTAAAGAGCCTAAACCACAGGCCCCTATTTAAGACCTAGTCTATTCTCAACCCAAATTAGTACTTGAGTCAGAGGGAGTGTTCAATCATAGAAATTCATCTCAAGAAGTTCGATTTGTAGAAATTAACACTAGGTTTTGAAAGCTTGTATTTTTATTATTTAGTATTCCCTTTGAATTTTCATTTTTTTTTTCGTTAAATTTTGTTAAGGAAGCCTTTTGTTTTCAATTTCACTTTAAGTTGATGAAAATGTTTTTATCTAAGTGAACTTGCAAAACTATGATATTCTATAATTGGATGATGACTATGTTAGAATAGGACAATCAATGAGTAGGACCACTTGTAATACGATAGCGATCGGCCACTGTGATTTGAAATGACTTGGAGAATTGACAAGTAGAACCGCTTGCAACATGACTGTAATCAATCACCGTGATTTGAAGTGACTTGGAGAATCGACGAGTAAGGCTACTTGCAATATGATTATAATCATCCACCATGATTTTGAAGAGACTTGGAGAATCCACAAGTAAGATTGCTTGCAACACGATTATAATCAACCATTATGATTAAAAGCGAATCAAAGAATCGATGAGTAAGATCGCATGCAATACGATTGCAATTAACCATTATGATTAGAAGCGACTTGGAGAATCGATGAGTAGGACTACTTGCAACACAATTACAATTGGCCACCATAGTTTGAAGCAACTTGGAGAATCGACAAGTAGGACCACTTGCAATATGATGGCAATTGACCTCTAGGATTAGAAGTGACTTAGAGAATCGATGAGTAGGATGACTTGCAATATGATTGCAATAGGTCACCACAGTTAGAATCCACTTGGAGAATCGACAAGTAGGACCACTTACAACATGATTGCAATTGGCCATCATGATTATGAGCATCTTGATATTTGGCTGACCACTATACCATCTAAGTATTTTGTTAATTCGTATTCGTCTAAGTATTTTATCAACTAGTATTCTTCTAGGTATTTTTCCTATTTTTGTACCATCCAGGTATTTAGCCCACTATTATGTCATCTAGGTATTTTTACGACTGTATGCTTTTGAGTTGAAACAACCAATTTGTAGGCTTCTTTCAAGTGACTATGTGATGAAATTAGACATTTACGATCATGTACCATTTAGGTATTTTGTCGACTTGTATTTTCTAAGTATTTTGTTGACTAAATTCGGTCGCTAAGGTAAATAGTGACTGATTTTTGCAATTTAGCGAGCAATTTTGGTGGTCGCTAAATTGCATATTTTTTGTAGTGAACCACTTGTAGATCATCTAGAATTTTCCTCAACCATAAAGCTTGATTAACAGCTTCAGCAGCAACTATGAGCTCTACTTCTACAGTTGATTGTGCCACATTGTCTTCTTGCTTGAGGCCCATGAAAACATTCTTGAACCTTTAACATATCTTAGCACACGTTTAGCAGCTTGAAGATGTACTTCACTTGCATGATGTATAAATCTAGAGAGAAGGCTTACAACTTGCAAAATATTAAGTCTTGTTGCCGTAAGATACATTAAGCACCCAACAAGACTTCTAAAATCAGTCTCATTAATCTTTTCTGCACCATCCTCTTTGCAAAGCTTCAACTTTTGAAACATTGGAGTACTCTCCATTTGAAACTTCTTCAGAATTTCTTTTGCATATTTCTTCTGACTGATAAAAATTCCTTTCTGGTCTTGTTTGACTTCCAAGCTAAGAAAGAAAGCCATTTTTCCACAATCAGTCATCTAAAAAACTTTCATCATATCTTGCTTGAACTCCTCAACAAATGCAATACTGCTTCCTATCACTAAAATGTCATCCACATACAAAGAAACAATTAAAATTTCAGAATTCAAGCATTTCAAAAAGAGAGTTAACTCACTGAGACTTTTTGTGAAGCCAATACTCAGCAAGTACTCATCAATTCTGCTATATCAGGCCTTTGGAGCTTGCTTCAAACCATACAAGAACTTATTTAGCAAATAAACCTTGTCTTCTTGTCTTTTAACCACAAAGCCTTCAGGTTGCTCAACATATATCTCCTCTTCTAAATAACCATTTAGAAAAGCAGATTTTACATATAGTTGAAACACATTCCAACCATTTTGTGCTACAAAAGCTAGAACCAATCTGATGGTATCAAGTCGGGCAACAGGAGCAAATGTTTCAGAGAAATCAACTCCATATTTTTTTGCATATCCCTTCACTACAAGCCTGGCCTTGTGCTTATTAATGGAACCATCTGCATTGAGTTTGGTTCTAAACACCCATTTAACACCAATAACATTTTGATGTTGAGGTCTAGAAACCAATTCCCAAGTTTGATTCTTTTCAATCATGCAAAACTCCTCCTGCATTGCAACAATCCACTTTGGATCCTTTTCTGCTTCAAAAAATCTGTAGGTTCTAAAATAGCAGCATTACATCTTTCATAAATATCAAAAAGTAATTTGGTTCCTCTAACTGGTGGATCATCAACATTTTCGTCCAAAATTTCATCTTTTTCTTCTATAAAAGAAAAATTAGGAACCTGCTTCCAATCATCTTTCTCCTAGCTCCATTGTTTATCTTCAACAAAAGGAACATCTCTGCTTATGAGAATGTTACCAGTTTGTGGTTGGCAGAATCTATAAGCTTTTAAAGGTGTGCTATAGCCAATGAAAATTCTTGCTTCTGTCCTTTTGTCTGGCTTATCTCTTTTCACCTTTGGCACATAAGTAAAACAAATACAGCCAAAAAATTTGAAGTTTTGAACAAAAGGTTTATAGCCATACCATGCTTCATAAGGAGTTTTTCCTAGAACAGCTTTTGTAGGAAGCCTATTTAATAGAAACATAGTCATATTTGTAGCTTTAGCCCAAAACTTCTTCGGAAGTTCTTTCTCATGCATCATGCTTGTAGCCATCTCCATTATCGTTCTATTCTTCCTCTCATTCACTCCATTTTTTTGTGGAGTGTAAGGAGTAGTAAGTTGGTGCTCAATCCCAGTTTCTTCACATAAAGAATTAAATTGATCTAAAATGTACTCTTTTCCATTATCAGACCGTAGAACCTGAATTTTACAGCCAAATTGATTTTCAATCCAAGCCTTGAACCTCCAAAAAATTATTGCAACTTCATATTTAAATTTCAAGAAATAAATCCAGCACATTCTTGTCAAATCATCAATAAAGAGAATGTAATATTTACTCCCATTTAGAGATAATTCAGGTAGAGGTCTTCCAAGGTCTATGTGAATCAATTATAGTTTCTGTGATGCTCTCCAACTAGTTTTTGGAAATGGTAGCCTGTATTGTTTCCCATATTGGCATGCATTACAATTATTTAAGTCAGCTTCCAATGATGGCAAGCCTTCCACAATATTTTTCTTCTTCATGTTCAGCAGTGCAACATGGTTAAAATGACCTATTCTCTAGTACCAAAGCTCAGTGACATTAATTGTGCTTGAAACAACAGCTTGCACCTCCTCCATTAAATCTAAAGAGAGGCTTTTTCCCTTCATTTTGACCTTGAACAGATCATGTCCACTTGCATCTTTGATCAAACACATTTTGTCTTCAAATGGATTTTTGTAGCCTTTTTCAAGCAACTGTCCAACCCTTAACAAGTTTTGATTAATTTCAGGTACATAAAGTACATCAGTGATTATTTTTGTACCTGAACAACTTTCAATTGCATTAGTACCCTTCCCTTTTACAGTTATGCACTCTCCATTGCCAATTCTGACTTTTGAAACAATTTCCTATCCAACTCCTTGAACAATTCTTCATCATAGGTTATGATGTGTGCATCCACTGTCAATTAGCTAGCTCTTGTTATTGGTGGAAAAAAAAGTTGCTGCAAATAACTGCTCCTTCACCTCTTGTTGGTCAACCACTTGAGCCTCTGTTTGAGATTCCCTTTTGTTATTGCAAAATTTTGCAATATGACCAAGCTGGTTGCATTGTTACAGCGTACGTTGGGTCTTCTCCAACATCTGAAGTGAGGATGGTTTCTCTTTCCATAATGTTGACAAGGAGGATGATTTGGTTTCTCATCATCTCCTTTACCACCTTTGTTGGAACTTTCTCATTGCTCAAAGTTGTTCCCTTTAGCCTTTTTTTTCTTTCCTTTGTAACCATGATTGAGTTTCAATTTTGCTTGTAAAGAACCTTCAATCACGCCTTCCTCCCTCATGAGTCTCCTTTGTTCTTGGGCTTGCAAAGCATACATCAATTCTGCCAAAGTGATATTTGACAGATCCTTGGAATTTTCCAAAGAGGAAATGGTGGATTCAAACCTCTCAGGAAGAGTCACAAGGATTTTCTGTACTATCCTTGTATCAGAAAATTTTGTCCCAAACAACCTCACCTTGTTTACAATGCTTAGAAGTTTGTTAGAATATTCTTTCACCCTTTCTGACTCCTTCATCCGCTACATCTCAAACTCCCTGATCAAATTCAGCACTTGCATCCCTTTAACTATCTTATTTCTTTTATACTCTTGTTTGAGAAAATCCCAAATAGCCTTTGTTGACTTTAGGGGTAAGAATCATAGATACCTAATTGTTGAATTCATATTGGATGGTGAATTTTCTAGACAAAAAATAAGTTCTAGTTGATTATAATTTGTATGATTGATTATGGTGATGTTTGTTTCAAGATTTTGTCCCAATGTTGGTGAGTTTTGTAACACCTCGAATTTTTCTATTAATATTACAAATAGTTATTATTTATTTTGTATTTATGAAGATTATTTCCTTATAATTATTTTGATTAATTAAATGGGTTTGATTGAATTTTTAAAGGTTTTTAATAATAATTATTTATGAAAATTATTTTGTATAATATTATTAATTATTATATTTTGTTATAATTATTATTTGAAGAAAATCATGTTTTAAATTGTATTGATATTTTATTTTAATTTGATATATATATATATATATTATTTATTTATTTATTTATTTATTAATTGGTAATTCTAGATTTTCATAAACCCCGGAACGGGCCGTTCCAACTCGAGCTCGCATGGGTAAAATTTCAACCTAGAACGGGCCGTTCCGGATGTGGTTTTAAAGAACATGGTATTGACTCAAAACGGGTCGTTCTACCTTGGAACGGGCCGTTCTGAAAATCCCAAAACGGGCTGTTTTGGTTTTGGAACGGGCCGTTCTGGGAGAGCTTTTGTACATGTTCTATGTGCCCAGAACGGGCCGTTCCGGATTCGGAACGGGCTGTTCTGGCCGCGGCCTGATGCCTATAAATAGAGCGTTTTGCACTCTCTAAAACTCATTTTTTCAATTTCTAATTTTTTTTCTCCTTTCTCTCTGAAGACGAAGGGGAACCTAGAGGGGGCGACCAACAAAATTTGGCTCCTGCTTATCGAGGTAAGGGGGGAGTGAGAAATCTCGCTTTGGGTGTGGGAATATATGTTGGGTAGTGGGATTGGCCCCCAATCCTGTGTTTGATGTATTTGTTTTTGTATGCTCATTTAAGAGGGGTTTCTCCCAATTGTATCTGTTTTGCTTATTATTTTTCTTATATGCAATTAATTGTATGATTTGATATCTCTATGGGTTCCATGGGAAACCCTATGAGAAACAGGAAAAATAGCAAAATATGAATGTTTTCTGTTTTGCTATCTGATTGCTTTATTATATTCCTTGTTTGATGAGATGTTAAAATATGTATTTAATTTTATAAATAAACGAGTTTTGATATAAATTAAAGTGCTATGTGGAGGCTTTGTGAATATGATGAGATAATGTGAAATGTGATTGAGATATGATATATGAAATGTGATAATGAAATACGATGATGAAATGTGATGACGAAATGTGATGATGTGAAATGACTATGGGAAATGATAATGTGATATGAGAATGCATAGAGTCTTGATTGACATGCATCATTTGCATAAGTGTTTTAAGGGTACGATATGGAATACACCGCCAGAGAAGGCCCCCTAGTGTAAAAGCTTTGGGGATTAGTCCTTGGGGATAGCTCGGTTTGGAAGTCCCAGTCTTGCCCATTGTGTGCATGGGATGTATCTTGCGCGGCTTAGCTATCCCGACGAGACTCTGGTAGTATATCCTTCTAGTGAGAGTGCGCAGAGGGTGTGACCCGACATGTACTTCTAGCCTACTCTTCGTAAATTGCTAGCGGCAATATGCCATTTGATGTTTTATTGGCACCACATGCATGATAATATGTAGTGCGTGTCCATACATGTGCATTTTCAATGTTATATGATAAAGTGATGGTTTATGTCTTGGATGAGTGAGATGAAATATTGTTATTAACATATCTATGTTATATTTGTCTTGTTTGTGTTTGGCTATCCGGTGTGTATTTCTACACTGTCAGCCAGAGTGAGATGTTTCTCACTCCCTTTGCTCGTGTTGTTTTACTTTGACTATTATACAGGTGATCATCAGCGTAAGGCTGAGGATGTGGACGATGGAGATTTGGCTTCTCAAGGATTCTATTTTACAATACTTCACTTTTCAGCATGTCTTGTCCTTAATTACACAATTTTTGGGAAACTTCCCAGAAGGTCACCCATCCCTATATTACTCCAAGTCAAGCACGCTTAACTGTGGAGTTCTTATGAGATAAGCTACAGAAAGGCATATGCATATTGTCAGTATAGGTAGTACAAATTAATTCATTTAAGTCGTCCTCAAATATACAATCTCATACTTATACTATCTTTGGATTCCTCTCATTTTGATATATCCGAACCGTTATAAAAATATAATAATATATTTAATAATTATATTACCAATAATAATAATTATATTATATTTAATTAATCTTTATTTATATATACTTACTTTTATAATTAACAATCTACTTATTTCTATTTAAAATTAATATTATGATACAATTTAAATTATCTATTATAAATTTAAAAATTTAAATAATAATTTTTATATTTTAAAATGAGAAGGGTTATAATAACACTGGTATAACTTTTACTAAGTATTACATTGTTCAATAACTTTATATTAAATGTGAATTTTGTAAATCCAACCGTTAAATTGAAAGTTCATATCACTTTATATGTTTATATCAAGTTTTGTTAAAATTGAA